AATACCCAGGACTCCCGGGCACACTGAATTTTTCATTAAAGTTGAAACAGCACGAACTCAACGTTCTACTTGAGGCAACAAGGGCGAGATACATGCAAACCACGAACACACCACCACACATGTATACACAAGTACGCGCGACTGTCTACATCCACACATACAACGAAATTCCCCGGTGAGTTAAGAATACAGCAAATACGGGGACTACATCAACAACAAGGCAACGATCAGCTGGATTGGACACATAAGCACAAGTAAATGAAACAGGTCAACGTCCGCTGCACAAAGCATTCGATACATAGAAAAGGGCAGCTTACAAAAGAGCGGGAGCGTAGAACTTACCAGCTAGAGAGCGAATGGAACTGCAAGAATGGGCTCTCACGCATACATACATACACGTTGTCGCGCAGTCAGCAAAGGCGCGATCGCATCAACATACGCATGTTGACAGCAACCAGCCAGCCGTCCCGCAACATTTCCAGGATTCTTATATATCTTTGTCAATATTATCATTGTTTTTTTTTATCTGCATCACTTCCTTTTTTTACTTTTCTTGCTTTGCACTAGTGTAAAAGCGAATGCCAATAAAACAATATTTTCAGCGACACGTATATGTGTGTACGAATAAGCTCTAAAACCTGCAATTTATTTCTTCTTTATTGGCGATTTGTAACAGCCTAAGCGATTTTGGCCGAGTCCAAAACACAACGCCAGTTATTTCTCTTCTGTGCTGACGCCAATTGGAAATGCCAAGTGAAGCCAAGTTCTTCTCCACCTGGTCTTTCCAACGCAGAGGAGGCCTTCCTCTTCCTCTGTTACCAGCATCGCGGCCCGCGTTGAATATTTTCAGAGCAGGAGCGTTTCTGTCCATTCGAACGACACGGAATTTGAAACGCCAAGTGAAGCCAAGTCCTTCACCTGATCTTTCCATCGCAGTGGAGGCCTCCCTCTTCCTCTGCTACCACAAGCGGGTTCCGAGTTGAATACTTTCAGAGCTGGAGCGTCGGTGTCCATTCGAACGACATGGCCAAGCCAGCGGAGCCGCTGAATTTTAATTCGCTGTACTATGTCTATATCGTTGTAAAGCTCATACAGCTCATCGTTAAATCGTCTGAGATATTCGCCATCACCAACGCGTAAAGGTCCGTAAATCTTTCGCGGAATCTTTCTCTCGAAAACTCCAAGAGCCGCCTCATCAGATGCTTTCAGTGTCCATGCCTCCGCGCCATACACCAGCACAGGCATGATGAGTGACTTATAGAGTGTGATCACTCTGTGTGTACGACGAGAGCGGACTTTACTTCTCAATTGCCTACTCAGCACAAAGTAGCACTTGTTGGCAAGAGTGATTCTCCGTTGGATTTCAAGGCTGACATTATTATTGGTGTTAATGCTGGTTCCCAAACAAACGAAGTCGTCTACTTTTTCAAACTTGTAACTGTCAACAGTGACGTGGGTGCCAAGACGCGTATGCTCTGACTGTTTGTGTGACGACAGGAGATACTTCGTTTTGTCCTCGTTCACCACCAGACCCATTCGCTTTGCTTCTCTATCCAATCCCGAGAAGGCAGATCAGTCGCAGCCCTTAGTTTCGTATTAGTTTCGTGGGGATACCAAATTCAGACATCGCGGCATAAAGGCAACTTCTCTTCGTGCTGTCGAAAGCGGCTTTGAAATCGACAAATAGATGGTGTGTGTCGATCCTATTCTCGCGGGTCTTTTCCAAGATTTGGCGTATTGTGAATATCTGATCTATGGTGGATTTTCCAGGGCTAAAGCCACACTGATAAGGTCCAATCAGCTCGTTGACGGTGGGCTTCAGTCTTTCGTACAATACACTTTATAAGACCTTATAACCTATGCTTAGAAGGCTGATTCCGCGGTAGTTGGCACGTATGGCGGGGTCGCCTTCCTTGTGGAGCACACTTAAATTCCAGTCGTCGGGCATGCGTTCATCTGACCATATTCTGCATACGAGCTGATGCATGCACCACATCAGCTCCTCGCCGCCGTACTTGAATAGCTCGGCTGGTAGGCCGTCAGATCCAGCAGCTTTGTTGTTTTTCAGCCGCGTAATCGGTATTCGTACCTCGTCATAGTCAGGCGGTGGGACAGCTACTCCATCATCATCGACTGGGGACTCGGGTTCGTCTTCTTTACTACTTTCAGCGCTGCTGCCATTCAGTAGGTTGTAAAAGTGTTTCCTCCACAATTTAAGTATATTCTGGACATCTGGTATTTCGACCTCTCTCTTCTTATTGCGGCAAATACGTCTCGCTTCCTTCTTCAGTTCCCTATAACGGTCCCACATGGCTCGCGTTGCGGCTGATCGCAGCGT